CCACCAATGAATACTGTTGGATTCGACGTTGCCCTGGGGGTGGTCTGAGCGGACACCCCAGGAGAGGAACCAAGAGCCCCTCGCAGCGACGCAATATCCTCCTTGATGCTGGTAATGTGATTCTCGAACTTTTGATGCATGTCGTTGAACCTTTTGTCTACTTCAGTTGCTTGCATTCCCATGCCGCTAGATAGCTCACCGTACTTCCCCTCAAGGCGAGACACTTTCAAAGACAACGGAGCTAATTGTGCGCTCAGCTTCTCATCTAAGGTGTCGTTCAGGAGCTTTGCGATGCCGTCCATCGTGACGGGAGCGGGAGAGGCCCCCGGCGGCGTGTGAGGATCTTCGAAGTGAAGTTGACGAGCAGTTCCACTGGCCTGAGGCTCGCTCGTGTCCCCATCCATCTCATTTAGTGGGCTGCTCAACGGGCTCTTCAAGCGGGGCCGCTTGTCGTCGTGGCCCTCTGGAGACGCAATGATGTGCGACTCCACCTTTGCACCAGGAGGAACCCTCTCTGCGCCCAGGGGCGTTCCCGGCGCCCTCGTGCTCGCTGGCATCTTCCCAACTGTCCTGACGCAGTGAGCAGAGAAGAGAGAAACAGATGATCAGGCAAACGGTAGAATGTGAGAGAAGTGTAGTAAGGGTATCGGATGTGAGCCGGGATGCTTACTGAGCCGGGATGATTACTGAGCCATCCTGAACGACGGAGGCCAAACACCGATCCGAAAATGAGGCCCACGCTGCAGCGGGAGCACGATCCGGAACGATTCGGGAGCAGAAGTGAGGCCGGCGCCTCAACGAGAGCAGCATTTTGGGAAAAAATGGCGCCGGCGCCTCAGCGAGAGTCGTTTCCCGGGATTTTTCGGGCATCCTGTTAAAAAACAATACGCGGAGGGTGCGCGGCTATCACCCGGACGCCATCAGGGGAAGGATTCGAGAGCAGAAATGAGGCCGGCGCCTCAACGAGAGCAGCATTTTGGGAAAAAATGACGCCGGCGCGAGAGCAGCATTTTGAGAAAAAATGACGCCGGCGCCTCAGCGAGAGTCGTTTCCCGGGATTTTTCGGGCATCCTGTGTGTAAAAAAACAGTACGCGGAAGGTGCGCGGCTATCACCCGGACGCCATCAGGGGAAGAGGGAGAGTATATTCATATTGAGTAATTGTCGAGGAGGACGAGGAGGAGGAGGGAGGGAGGGGGGAGGAAGGCAGAAAAAGCAGGAGGGTGGGAAGCAGAAAGTCTTACGAGGACCCCGTGCCACAAGCACTCGGGGGGCGCGCGACCCAACGCCTGCGGGCTTCCGCGGTGGGGGTTCCTGTGGCTCTCCGGGGGGGGGGGGGCGGCCGCCCCTCCGGGAACGCGCGGGGGTAAAATGCTGAAAAAGCCAGACAACCTCAGAGATTGCTCCCCTCCTCCTCCTCCTCCTCCTCCTCCTCCTCCTCCTCCTCCTCCTCCCTCCTCCTCTCTCCTCCTCCTCCTCCTCCTCCTCCTCCTCCTCCTCCTCCTCCTCCTCCCCCTCCTCCACGTCGTGTCGTCTGTCTAGACGGCTCCAAGACGAGCACACATCGCGGCAGCTCGGCGGCAAAAGTGCACGGAGACCAGCAGGAGACGGTCCAGCGAGCCCCCAGCGGCTCCAAGATGTGCCCAAGAGGCCCTACGAGGGCCCAAGAAGACCGCAGAGACGCCCAAAAAGGCTTGCAACAAGGCCATGAAGGAACAACACATTGAAATTATCCCGGCGGAGAACCCAACCATATGCAACTGTGAGTACCGTCACTGTAGCTACTGCCTTAGAGGGAACTCCGTGTGGGACAGCGTCCGCATGACGGGTGTGCCCCTGAGGCCTTCGGTGAAGCTCCCTGTAGAGCCACGAAACGTGTGAGTGGAGTGCCGAAGCGGGGGTGTCGCCCAAATGCGGGCTGCGCCGCTGAAAACTGAGGAAGAGCTCCCTGTGGTGCCATGAAACGTGTGAGGGGTGTGCCGAAACAGGGGTGTCGCCCAAATGCAGGCGGCGCCACTGGGGCCTGAGGCGGCGCTCCCTATGGGGCCACGGAACGTGTGAGGCATGTGCCGAAACGGGAGAGGCGCCCACATGCGGGTGGCGCCAATGGGACCTTCGGTGGAGCTCCCTATGGGGCCACGAAACGTGTGAGGCGTGTGCCGAAATGGGAGTGTCGCCCAAATACGGGCTGCTCGAGTAGGACCTTAGGTGAAGCTGCCTATGAGGCCACGAAAACAATGGGTGTGCCGAAACGGGGGTGGCCCCCGCATGCGGGCGGCGCCAATGGAACCTGAGGCGGAGCTCCCTGAGGGGCCACGGAACGTACGAGAGGTGTGCCGAAACGGGTGTGGCGCCCACATACGGGCGGAGCCAGTGGGACCCTAGGCAGAGCTCCCGGTGGGGCCACGAAACCTGCAAGGGGTGTGCCCGCAGGCCACGAAACGCGTAAGGGGTGTGCCGGAACGGGGGTGGCGCCCACATGCGGGCGGCGCCAGTGTGATTTTGGGTGGAGCTCCCTGTGGGGCCACCAAACGTGCGAGTGGTGTGCCGAAACGGGGGGGCGCCCCCATGCGGGCGGCGCCAACGGGACCATGGGTGGAGCTCCCTATGGCTCCACGCAACACGTGAGGGGTGTGCCGAAGCGGAAGTGATGACGATGATGGTGATGATGACGGCCCTGATGATGATGATGATGATGACGATGATGATGTTGATGATGATGTTGATGTTGATGATGATGATGATGATGATGATGATGATGATGATGATGATGGTGGTGGTGGTGGTGATGATGACGATGGTGGTGATGATGCCAATGATGATGTTGATGCTGATGCTGATGATGATGATGCTGATGCTGATGCTGATGCTGCTGATGATGCTGCTGATGATGATGATGATGACGATGCTGATGCTGAGAGGATGAGGGAGGGGACAGCGGGTGGAGAGGAGGGGCGAGGAGGAAGGAAGACAAGGCGAAGGGACGCGGGGCGCTGTCTCTTCAAAACGAGGACCCAACACCGCAAGATGGCTGGGAAAGGAACACGCGAAGCAACGCGCGCTGCTTCCCGTGCGCCTCGGCTTCAGGTCGCCTGGGAGAAGCTGCGGAGATCCGACTGCTCCAGGCAGCCCCAAAGTCGGGGGCGCTCAAACATGGATTAGCGATCCATGGATTTGGCGCGCGGTCGCCAAATCCATGGATCGGAGAAGGCGCCCTCCCCACAGTGCGGCCGGTGCCGCCTCGCTCGGCGCCGGAAATCCGCGATGCCCCATGGAAACAGGACCCGTCGCTACGGCGGAGGCCAGTCCACAAGAAACCGTCCACAAGGAACCCGACCCTGAGACCCCCCCCGGAGACCACTCGCGGCCCCCTCGCCCGCAACCAGCTTGCTACAGTCAGGTCGGGCGTGTCGTCCCACAGGCGTATTTTGGACGAACAATTAAAAATAGTCAAAACATTTTTATATATATATATATATATATATACATATATATATAACACAAAATGCTCAAACATACTCAACACATCGTCCCCAGAGTCTATTTTTGGCCATTTTTGCATATTCCTCCTGTTGGGGGACACGCCCGACTGAGTGCTACGGGAGATCCGTGCCGTGTCGACCCCCGCATGGGTTCCTGACACCGCGGGGATCGTTCAACCTTGCACGATCGGCCGTTGCCAGGACGTCAGATCGTTCGACATCGACCGATTTGGGGTCGCTGGCGGCGTTCAACGCTGAACGCCAGCGGCGGGGTCGCCGCTGGTCGACGCGGCGCGAACCTACCGTACAATGACGGGGTGGTGAAGGTGAACGAGGCCACACCCTGACGGCGCACTGGCAGGCATATTGAAAATGTGGATCACATGCGTGCCGGCATGAAGAAAAAAAAACACCGTTGCACAGTGCCTCGGGGAACCGTCGATGCAGCCTCTGTTCCCCACGAGGTGCGAGAGGCAGCTGCGCAGTTTGTGAAGTTGAGCGTGGACCGACCGTCCCAGCACTTCTATAGGCCTACCACGACATGTTCTTAGAAGCCAAACTGTTCTCAGAACTAACACAATGCTCGTAGAACATAAAACCGATGAGTTTAAACAAGACAGTCACAGTCAGAAATGTTCTAAGAACATTTCGCGCAGACCTCAAAAGGTTCTTAGAACATTCTTCGGTGGGCCTATAAGCGAGCCAAGACGCTTCGCCACTGCTTGAGAGAGAGAGCGGGGGACGGATTCCCGGGGCGTCTTCGGCGGCGTGGGGCGTTCAGCTCTGAAGGGGCCCTGGGACACACAAACAAATACACGCAAATAACAAGATTCCCCATATTTTCCCACAAATGTTCGGGTTTTCTGTCTTCCCCCCCCCTCTCCCACATTTTTCCATATTTTCCTGGGAATCGATGATTCATTGTGTCTGTGTGTTGTCTCCCCTCCTGAAGTCCAGCAGCAGCAGATCGCAAGGCCAGAGCGAGGAGCAGGGCCCCCGAGGGCCCCTGGGAGAGGCCGACTCCCCCGCGGGCCGCACGCCTCTGCAGCGGCTGCCCCGCGCCCCCCCCCCCGCCCCCCTCGTCCTCCATCTCGCCTCCCCTCTCTGACTACCTACCAGACCACCCCAACCCAACCCGAAGACCCGAATTTCGGGTTGGGGGGGGTAAGGGTTCTACATGTGTTTTTCCAACGTTCCCCGACCCCCCCCAACCAGAAATGGAGGGCAAATTGAAGCCTTCGGGTTGGGTTGGGGTGGTTTGGTGGGTGGTGACTCTCACCCTCGCCCCCTCGTGTCCCTCTCCTCTCCCCCCCCCCCCCTCGTGTCCCCCTCCTCCCCCTCCCCTGGCCCTCGCTCAGACGTCCCTTCCCCTGTGCTTTTTTTTCGGTTCCGCGCGCGGATGTTCCCCCCAAAGGATCAGGGATGCTCTCCTCGATGGTCCCCGCCGGAGGAAAAATCTGCACACGTCCGAGCGACGCCAAGCGCCTGCCGGCCACGGGGCGGCGCGCGTCGCCCGGGCCTGCGTGCGCCGCAGCACCAGCAGCTGGCAGTCTCCCACGGTGATCACCGCGATCATCGGGTGCGGCTTCCCGTGGAGCCGCCGGCCCCCCCCCACGAGGGGGGCGCCCCGCTCGCCCAGCCTCGCCCCCCCACTCGCTGGGGATGCATCTGTGTTCCCACGTCGAGGGAGGGAGGGAGGGAGAGAGAGAGAGAGACTAGGTATGTCGGTACGCATGCACGTATGTGCGTATGCACGCATGTCTGTGTGCGATAATTGGCAACATGTGTACCTATACGACCACCCTTCGGGTGTGAAGGAGGTTCGGGGGGGAGGAACCAACGTCTCACTCGATCGGTCTCACTATCGATCTGACTATCGATCTCACTATCGGTCTCGCTCGATCGACCTCACTCGATCGATCTCACAATCGATCTCAATCTATCTATTCATTCAATCGATCTCACAATCGATCTGACCATCGATCTCACGATCGATCTCACTATCGATCTCACTATCGATCTCACAGTCGGCCTCACTATTGATCTCACTATCGATATCACAATCGATCTCACAATCAAGGACATCATCATCAACATCATCGTCATCAACGTCATCAACATCACCATCATCATCATCACCATCATCATCATCATCATCATCACCATCATCGGGACACCATCATCATCACCGCATCACCATCATCATTAACATCATCATCACCACCATCATCATCGGGCCACCATCATCGTCACCATCATCACCATCATCATCATCAACACCATCATCATCATCATCATCGGGACACCATCAGCATCAGCATCGGGACACCACCATCATCATCAACACCATCATCTCATCATCAGCAGCAACATAATCATCATCAACATCACCATCCTCGGGACACCTTCATCATCGTCACCATCATCATCATCACACTCACCCTCATCCTCATCCTCGTCATCATCATCATCATCATCATCATCATCATCATCATCATCATCATCATCGGGACACCATCATCATCAACATCAGCATCATCATCACCATCACCGAGCCACCATCATCATCATCATCATCACCTCATCATCATCCTCATCATGAGCATCATCATCATCGGGACACCATCATCGACATCATCATCATCTTCGCGACACCATCATCATCATCATCATCATCGACAGCATCATCATCCTCATCATCAGCATCTTCATCATCATCAGCATCATCATCATCTCATCATCATCGGGACACCATCATCATCATCAACATCAGCATCATCATCACCATCACCGAGCCACCATCATCAAAATCATCATCACCTCATCATCATCCTCATCATGAACATCACCATCATCGGGGCACCATCATCGACATCATCATCATCATCATCAACATCGTCAACATCATCACCATCATCATCGGGACACCATCACCATCATCATCATCATCCTCATCATCATCATCATCATCATCGTCATCGTCATCATCAGCATCAGCATCAAAATCGTCAACATCATCACCATCATCATCGGGACACCATCATCATCACCACCATCACCATCACCATCACCATCATCATCATCATCATCATCATCATCATCATCATCATCATCATCTTCATCTTCATCAGCAGCATCATCAACATCATCAACATCATCGACATCATCATCATCATCATCATCATCATCATCATCATCATCATCAACAACATCATCATCATCATCGGGACACCGACGGGACACCGGCAGGACACCGGCGGGACACCGCGCGCCACCGGCCCCGGGTCAGGAATCATTTGGTCCGGCCGCGCCTCAGCCGGAGGAGGCTTTCTTCTCGCACGCCCACGCAGCTCTTCGCCTCGCCCGCATGCACGGCGCGCATACGAGCACAAAGCCGAAACCGATTTCCCGGTAGGGGGGCTCTCCGTTCCACTTCGATCTCACCCCCTCACCTCCGATGTGAGTGTATTCACGTCTGCATGTATGCACGCACATATACACTCATATTTATAGTTATAGTTATATTTGAATATAGTTCTATTGAAATATAACTAAAACTATATGTACACTCATATTTATAGCTATATTTAAATATATGTATAGATGCGAATGTGAGCATACCCGTGTGTGGAAAAATGTTTCACAAACAGCGTTTGCACTTAGAGGTTCTTGCTTCTGTTGAAGGAACTGCGCCTGAAAATTGATCTGGCGGCCATGTACTCGCCGTTGCCGCCCCGTCGCCGCCTCGTCGCCGCCCGTCGTCTGGGCCTGAAACTTGATCTGGTTGCTATGTGCTGCTATAGGCTTTCCCGTGTGTTTACATTGTTCGAGTTTCTTTGGCATACATTGTTCGAGTTTCTTTGGCATACATTGTTCGAGTTTCCTTGGCATTCTCGTCTCCACGGATGGATTAGCCTGACAGGTGTTCAGAGGAAAAGGAGGAGAAAGAGGAGGAGGACGAGGAGGAGAAAATAATGAGGGAATGCCCAGTTAAGGTCGTCGTAGGTCGTCGGCGTCTCTCTCGGATTCGTCTTCCACACATTGATTCGCTGACACCCAGATATTGAAAAAGGACGATGTCTTCTACCGAAGCATGCCATCACTATGAGATGCACATATGGGGATCTTCGCGTCGAGAAATTGTCTTCCTACTTTTATCGTATGCTCCCGCAGGGCTGGCTGTTGACCATCCCAGGGGGCAGCGACAGCGTTCGGAGAACACCAGTGCCATCAGGAAATCAGGAAATCATGGTGATGATAATGGTGATGATGACGATCATGGAGGTGATGATGATGACGATTTGGTGATGACGAGGCCAAGGAGGAACACCAGCAGCAGGGAGCTGGCCAGGGTCAACGGGTCCTCCCCCAGGGCATTGAGACTGCCACCAGCGGGGTGCCGGGCCCGGCGGCCAGCCCTTCGCATCTTGGTGCTGTTGTCCAGCAGGGCCTCGGACCCGCGCCAGGTGGCAGCAACTGAGCTCGCCGACAGAATTGCATCCCGGAAGCCCTCCCTTCCATGCGAATTGCCACAAGCACAACAGTGTGAACATATGCACGGATGGAGGCTGGCTCCTTTTCAAAATGGGCCTTTCGCCTGAGACGTCGCCTGACAGTCGGCAATGAGCGATGGGGGGAAATGCAAAGGAGACGGTCATCTCAGAAAGCAGCGGGACTTCTCAGAAGGCCTCGCGCCTTATGAGAAGTTGTCTGTCTTCGGGGAAGGCTTGGGAAACTTCTCAGAGGTCCGCTGCCCCTGGGGCCCTACAGCTCCAAGGGAACCCCACAGGGCCCAACAGGACGCACGAAAGCCGAAAAGGGAACCGAAGAGAACCGGAGAAAGCCCGGAGAGGACCCCCAAACAGCCCAGATCAGCCGAAATCAGGCAGGGGTTCAATGAGTTGGGTGTTTACGCCCCTCTTGACGTAATCTCGCTCGTAGACGGCCACGGGATATCTGCAAAGCGACCCAGACCAGTCCATGATATGGATAAGGGGAGAAGGCAGAAAAAGGAGGGCGGATCGTCTAGTGGCCACCCTGGGCTGTCTCGGCGATCTAGTTGCCGCCTTTTGACACTTTCTGGAACAGTTCTACAGCCCACCTCGCACTCTCGCAGCCTACCTGACTGTCTGCCCGACATCCTTCCCAACCATATTCCCGACGGCCTCCCCGACGCCCTACACCGACAGTTTACCCGACGCTCTACCCGACGCCCTATCGACTCTCTATCCGACGGCTTTTCCCTTCCTTCACCCTCCCAATGTTTTTTATCGCACCCTCTCCTGCCGCGCCTCTTCCTCATCCTCCTCATCCAAATCCGGCTCCTCCTCCTCCTTTTCCTCCGTCTCCTCCTTCTCCGCCTCCTCGTTCTCCTCCCCCTCTCCCGTCCCTCCTCCATCCTCCCTCCTCTCTCTCTTCCGTCCTCCCTCCTCCCTCCTCCCTCTTCCATCCTCCCTCCTCCCTAATCCCTTCTCCCTCCTCCTCCCTCTTCCCTTCCGAGGGATTATCTCTCCGCCCTCCTTCCTCCTCCTCCTCCTCATCCTCCTCCTCCTCCCCCTCCTCCTCCCCCTCTTCCCTCCCTCCCTCCCTCCCTCCATTCCATCCACCTCCTCCCTCTCCTCCTCCTACTCTTCCTCCTCGCCCTCCTCCCTCGCCTACCTATGGTAGGTCGTGGTGGGGGGGACAAGACGGCCCCTCGTGGACTTCCCTCCCGCGGGAGGGTGCGAGGCTCTTCCGACGGCAACGCGGCCCCCAAACACGTGAGGTAATGTGGGTTGCATAGGTCGGGATAGACAGGACACAAGGGTACACCCTGCGAAATGCTCAAGAAATCATGGGTTAAGAAATTCATAGTCTCAGAATTTGAATAAAAACCACAGCTTCTACTAAAAAGTTAGGATTTCCGTTGAAACAATAAGAATAATCTAGACTCTGGCCGAAAACTTAAGTTTTCCTAAGCATCGCCTAAGGGGTACACTCGATTTGGCAGGGCCGACCTGCCAATCGAGGCCGACTGCAGCAGATTGCTGCCCGAGGCACGTGCGGGGCCGAGGGTGGGGGGCCCCGGGGAGCACTGAGATAAGAGAAGCGGGGCCACGACGTCCTGAAATAGGGCGCAAACAAACCTACCTCGCTTTTGACCACCCTCGCTTCCAAGAGATACCAAGCGACGTCAAACTACGGCCTGCGCTGGTCAGGCCGCTTGACGAGGAGGCGCGTGGTATGACTTGGTTTTGCCTGGAAGCGAAAGCGGGGTAGGTAATTCACGCTCCGATGAAAATGTCATTGCCCCGGCCATGAGATACACAGCCAGACGAAGCTAGGACAAGGATGACGTCGGGTGAGGACACATCGATAGTCATTGAGATCCAGCGGTTCTGGAGGATGGATCGGGCGACGCGGCGTTCGCAGAGCGTTCCAGAACGATCTGAGAGCGTTCCGGAGAGCTCTGGAACGGACTTATCCTCGTCCTGGCCCCGCCCGACACAGCCCTGCACGTCGGTCTGAAGAAGTAGGCAAAACGTGAAGCAGGAAGGCGGATGAAACTGATTGGGTTCAGGCCCTTCAAGAGAATAGCAAAACACAACTAAAGCAAAAGCAAAGCAAAAGAAGTAGGGAGGCGCTTACAGTAGACTGGGATCTGGCAGGAATACCTGCTTCCAACGACCGACGTGTATCCCTCATCCCCCAATTGGACGCCGCCGAGCCGACGGAGGGCTGCTTGGAACGCTTTGTGAAATCGCGCCGAGGGCAAACTGAGCATCCTTTTCGCCGATCCCCACCCCCACTGGCGTGGCCTGTGCCCCACTGGGCGATTGACCCCCTGGAAGAGGATACAGGCTGTTTCCTTCGTGTTTCGAGTGGCCTACCCCCAGCTGGGGTGATGGGAAAGTGGGTTTGACATATCATGGCCTGGTGGGGATGGGGATAGGTTAATCGGCGATGGACAAACCTGCCTTTAGCAAACCACCCTTCAATGAAAACGGCCGAAGACCGAAACCGACGGACCTGGACCCGCAAAACTACGGCCGCGACGCCCTCTCGCGATCCGGAAACGGCCGATTCGCTAATCGACGTGTCAGGGTAGGTCTATCAACCTCCGAGTTAAACGACACTTTACCAGCCTGGAACATATCCCTATCCCTATGCTGGGCACCTCCTCATCACGATGCCAATCTTAGGGATTCCCTTATCTTTTGAGGGCGAATCCCTGAGATTGTCATCGCCTTTTGGCGTGTCAATCTTAGGGATAGGGATACGTTCGAGGCTGGTAAACACTGACAAACCAGGATCCCCAACCAGGGCGATCAACGATCGGCGACCGTGCCCAGACCGCTGGGCCACAGGGCGACGGCACGGGCAGCGCCCTGCACTCCTCGCAGCAGAGCTCCGCGGATGCTCGCAGAAGACTGAAGGGGCCCTGGAGCATACAAATAAACAGACACACAACAGGCTTCCCCATAATTTCCCATACTTTCTTGGTTCTTGTCTTCCCCCCCACTTCCCATATTTTCAAATATCCTCTTGGGAATCGACGATTAATTGTGTCTGTGTTCTTTCCTCCTGAAAGACACCCCATCCGCCATGACTCGGGCTTTCGATGAGTGAACGTTTTCTTATTCGGCGTTTCGACATTGGGTGGAAATGGGGGGAGGGGGGGTCTGGCGGACCTCTGCTCATTGCGACTGTTTGCACCAGTGCGTCCAATGGGGAGACCCCACCTGCTCGAAACAGTCGCAAGAAACAGCCAAGATCTACTCCATGGGGGGGAGGGGGGGTGCGAGGGCCCGCGCCGATCGGCAAAGCAATGAATAAGAAACGATCACTAACGGGGGGAAATCCGGCGGCCCCCTTGTGGGGCCATCAATCTGCGTGGCTCAGGTTTCCTGCTACTTGTGCCAGTTCCTGTTTTCTGCATCGCATGTTACAAGAACTACGTCCTGCTTCCTGCTGTAAATTGTGAGGGCCCGCGCGAGGGGGGAGGAGGGGGGGGCAAACTACCCTGGCAACCACGCCCGAATCGCGTTGCCTCAATTTCTTGTGGATCCCGAACCCCATATAAATTCACAGGACTTGCACCCCCGAGGACAGAATCTTTCAGAATTCGCGCAAGATTCGCGCTCACGAGGCCAGAATCCCCAGTGAACTACGCCAGAGTCGTGCTCCCAAGGCCAGAGTCCTTTGCAGATTGTACCTGGTTCGCGCTCCCGAGGCCAGAATTCTTTTTTACTTCCACCACATTCGCGCGGGGAGCGCAAGATGTGTTGCTGATTCCTAGCCGCCCCCGCATGGTGTTCCCAAATGTCATTAAGACGGCGCCCAAGCACCCAGACACGGCTCTAAGCCGCCACTGTTCCTTCGCACGTTGAGGCGTGAAAGAATACCAAGTGCTGCAAGGCAGGGTCCATGTAGTCTTCTCAGGGATCCCCCCCCTCTCGCCGCGCCCAGCTCCAGACTCCAAGATGGCCTCAAGACGGCCCACGAGGGCACCAAGAGGGCCCCACGACGGCCCAAGAGGGCGCCAAGATGGCCAAAAGAGCGGCCCAAGAGGACCCCAAGTTGGCGCTCAGACGGTCCTCAGAGTCCCCGAGAGAGCCCCGAGACGACCCAGAGAGCCCACCAAGATGGACTCGGAAAGCGCCCGTGCGGCCCCAGAGCGCCCTCAGACGGCCCAAGGCGCCCCCAAGGGCCCCCGAGGCGCTGCCAAGAGGCCCCCACGGGCACCAGCGAACCCCTCAAGAGGCCCCCCAAAACCTTCAATCGGGGGCGCGCAAACATGGATTAGCGATCCATGGATTTGGCGCGCGGTCGCCAAATCCATGGATCGGGGGAGGTGCCCTCCCCAAAATGCGGCCGGTGCCGCCCCATTCGGCGGCGAAGTCCGCGATTTCCCGTGGAAACGGGACCCGTCGCTAATCCACGCCCCCTTGATCCATGTTTGCGATCGCCTGATTCAAGGAGCCCGAAAGGTTGCGCTTGACGGCATCCCGTTCCCCCTCGAATAGTCACCATCAAGCATGCTGGACTGGCACTGTGGCGGGACTTGCCGCAAGGCTTGGGTCGGGCGTGTCCCCCTACAGGAGGATGTGGTACGAAACCAGAAGTACTCAAAGTTACTTCTACACTGTTAAAGAAAAAAGCGTCCCCAGACTACTTTGGAATATTCATCCTGTAGGGAGGACAGGCCCAACCTGACGCAAGGCAGCTGGATCGGTCGTCCCTCCTAACAGGGGGGGGGGCCAGCGGCAGAGGGCGCAGCCCTCTCGTATGTGACCGCTGTCCGAAGGAGCCCCAAGGAAGGAACGACCGCGGCCGCGCCAACGACGGAGCCCTGACTTGGACGCCCGAGTTATCCGGGGTAACTCGGGTCCGGGGTAACTCGGGTTTTGGTTCCCGAAAAACGAACCCGAATTGGCCCTGACCCGAGTTACCCCTGATGATTTTGGGGCTCTGGACGCCCGAATTATCCGGGGTAACTCGGGTCCGGGATAAATCGGGTTCGGAATCCCGAAAAACGAACCCGACTTAGCCCTGACCCGAGTTACCCCTGATGATTCGGGGCTCTGAACGTCGTGACGCCCGGGCGGCACGACGCCTCCCCGGTGGGACCCGGCGAGGGGCGGATGCTCGAGAGCACTCGGGGAAGAGGAGGAGGATGAGAAGGAGGAGGAGGAGGAGGACGAGGAGGAGGAGGAGGAGGAGGAGGAGGCGGAGGAGGAGGAGGAGGCGGAGGAGGAGGAGGAGGCGGAGGAGGAGGAGGAGGAGGAGGAGGACGAGGAGGAGGAGGAGCAGAAGGACCAGTGTAAACTCAAGATGCTCTCTGGGCCTGGCGGCCGCGGCAACGCAGGGCCGGCGGGGCGCGATTCTCCTGGACGCCCGGGGAGCACGGGGGCCTGGCGGCCGCGGCATCCCTCGGCTGAGGGGCCCCGCGAGGCTTTCGTGGGGATCGGTTCCCTTTCCTTCTGTTGAGGTGCCGCCGCTTCTGGCACCTCGTGTCCGTGGCTTGGTTTCGCCTGTTTCCGGTAGCCACGGCGGGGTTCGCCTTGTAATTCTGGTCAGGAGGGGCGCTGCCTTCGGGATCTCTCTGGCCGACTGTTTCGGCGCAGCGAGGCTCTCAGTGGGCGTAGCCGTCCTTTCCTTCTGTGCGGACCACCGCTTCTGGCACCTCGTGGCACTGGGGCACACAAATAGGCAGGCATAAATCCCAGGATTCCCCATTCCCCCATGTGTTCCCGAGTCTTCTGGGTTTTCGTATGCCCCCCCACTTCCCATAATGTTCCCATCTGTTCCTGGGAGTCGACGATTCATTGTGTCTGTCTTTTTCCCTCCTGAATGTTGCTTAACGGTGGTGTCTGAAACTAAGTGTAGGGAATCACGAACCACACGTCCTACCTCTCCAGCATGCGAACGCATCGAACGAAGACGACACAGCGAATTGCAGGAAAGCACGAGCCACGCGTTCCCACAACACCGAAGACTACATCGTCGTTGCCTGCATCGCCGTTGGCGTGTCTACGGAACCAGGCCCCTCTCTCCCATGGGTTGAGCTTCGATTTCCCATGGAAGCCCTCAGGAAAACCTAAGGCAAACGGTAAGACAATCAAGGAACACCGAGCCCCTCCCCAACCAGAAAGGTTCCGTCTTCTTGGACAGGGACCGACCGTCCTGGCATTCCTACAGGCCTACCACGACTTGTCCGTAGGACCCCGAACATGTTCCTAGAACGAAAACAGTGTTCTTATAACATCAAACCGATGTGTTTAATTAACCAAGACAGACCTGGCCAGAAATGTTCTAATAACATTTCGTGGAAGCCACAAAAGGTTCTTAGAACATTGCGTGGTAGGCCTATGGGCGCGCCTATAGGCGCGCTAGGAAGAGGAGGAGGAGGTAAATGAGGAGTCGGACGAGGAGGATCCCCTCACCCTCCAACTTATGGTGGTGGTGGTGGTGGAAAACAGGTCCATCATGTATTGCCCCCGCGCGACCCACGACGCCTAAATGCTCCAGGGAACTTCTCGCCTCAATGTCTGGAGATCCTAGTGCTCACACCTGAACCGTCTTACTCACCGCAGGGTGAAGAGCCGCGTGCGCCCGTGTCGTTGGGCGCCCGAGTTATCCGGGGTAACTCGGGTCCGGGGTAACTCGGGTTTGGCTTCCCGAAAAAGGAACCCGAGTTACCCCTGACCCGAATTACCCCTGATGATTCGGGGCTCTGGACGCCCGAATTATCCGGGGTAACTCGGGTCCGGGGTAAGTCGGGTTCGGATTCCCGAAAAACGAACCCGAGTTAGCCCTGACCCGAGTTACCCCTGATGATTCGGGGCTCTGATGTCGGCGCTTGCGCCGCGAGCTGCGACAAAAAGGGCGAGCGATCCTCGCTCGCACGCCGGCCCGCTGAGTGGCGCGCCAACGTCGCCGTGGTGGAGCCCAGAGTGTTGTCCGTGGCTTGGAAAGCCTCCGTCAGCAGCGGGATAGGACCTCGGTATTTGTCCTGGCTCGGTGGCGGCCGGAAGCAGTTATTGAAGAGGAACTGGGACACACAAAAAAATACACACAAATAAAAAGATCCCCCATATTTTCCCATATTTTCTGGGTTTCTGTCTTCCCCCCCACTTCCCATATTTTCCCATATTTTCTGAGGAATCGGGGATTAATTGTGTCTGTGTGTTTTTTCCTCTCCTGAGTTATCGCCGAGCGAATGTTGTCTCGAAGCCCTGGGTGGAAAGCACATATGGTTGTCGCAGGGACACGAGATGGGTCGACAGTATCAACACGTCTCAATGCTTGCGGGGCACTGCGCTGTAAGGTGAGCATGCGCTGATGCTGTGCTCAAGCGCCGAAGCAACGGATGGTAGAGGCATCGAGACATAGCTAGTCTTGAGCTGCGACAGAGGTGACTGGCCCAAGAGAGCATTACGCGCGTGTCCAAAAGCTACTCAACGGCAGCCTGGAAACGAGTGCGCGTCACGGGCCCTGGGCTTCTCGCCGATGCCGCAAAAAACTGGGCCGGGGCGGCACCGTCCTGCGGCCGCGACCTGTAGCCGGGAGTGAGCTGGGCGTCGCCGAGGTCCTGGATTGGCAAGCCAAGGTCGCGAGGGAGGGCAGATGACAAGAATCAGAGAAAGCCCAGCACGCGCCACTCCCGCTGTTCAAGAACAATCGAGACACTGTCACACGTTCAAGAGTGTGAGCCCCTTCGACAAAGGCCCAGGGACCCGTGGAGATCCCCAGAACGAACAACGGTCCGAGATGAAGACCCAAAACACGAAGAACACAAAAGTATCCCTTCACCAACTGCTGTTGTTCGTAACCCTCGTGTCAGATGTGCACACCATCCTGTCACACATCGCTCCTCATGCTTCTCGGCCCCCTCGGCCAACAAGCGACACCGCAGTGCGACGGGCACCACGGAGTGAAAGAGAAGAGCGCCAGGCATCGTGAATGACGCCTTGAAGCCAAACATGGCGGGGCGTTGCCAAGCTTGAGTGCGGCACGACGCATCCCCAGGCCGCATCCTCACGCATACGACAAAACACATGGTTCCTTACTCGGGGGCGTCCCAAGAGGGGACGTCCAAGAGGAGGGTTCGCGAACCATGGCCCGAGGCATGAGCGCGGACGAGGGGGGGAACCAGGGAAGGCGTTGAGAGATGTGGAGAAGTTTCTGGCCCCGGCCATGCTCTCCACCCCTCCCCCTCTTGGCCGACCCCGGCTTGCGGCAATGGAGCGGCGATGGTCCCATCAGCCTGCCACGGGCTCAAGACCTGGCGAGGCCAGGATGGCGAAGACTGTGGCCCTGCCGCCCTGGAAGGGTATGCAGCCCGGTGACCAGTCCAGAGATTCGACGATTCAGGCGTTCTCCTCAGCTGCCTGGTGCCTCCCGCGGAGCCTCTGGTAAGCCTCTTGGGGCCTTTCGGACATAATCTTCTACGGCGCAGCACCTTGAAATGGGACGGGGGAACGCTGAAGGCTCGGACGGCACTCATAGCCCACTCGCACTGCCACCGAATCCGCCGACCCTGTCGGCGTGTGTGAGGGGCTTGTCCGTTCAAGTCGTCATCTCCGTCATTCGTTGGTCGTCGTCTCTGTCGCCCCCTTTCCCTGCCTCCCCCCTTTCCCAGGGCTCGTCGAAGCTCCCCCCTTTCCCAGGGACCTCCTCAGCGCGCCAGCCAAAGCAAGCAACGTCGTAATTGAGTCGAAGGGACGCCCCTTCCCTTCGATCCCTCCCCCGCCTGGGAGTGGGGGTGGGTGGGGGGTCAGATACGACGCCCTCCCTGGGAGTCCCGGAGCCCAAAGAAGCCCCAAGACGGGCCAAGAGTGCCCCAAGAGGCCCCAAAGACAGTCCAAGAGAACCCTGAATCGCCGAACGATCTGTTCAAGGCGCCTTGACGGCCTCCAGGCGGTCCAAGAAGCCTGCGAAGTGCCCCTAAGAGGCCTCCAGGAGCTTTCCCACGAGAGCCCCAAGAGGCAAAATTCATGGATTTCCGCATGAGTTTTGAAAGATTTTGGCGTTTTTGCCTCTTCCGCTTCCCGACGCGCCAAGACGGCCCAAGAGGCCCCCAAGATCGCCCCGAGACGGCCCAAGAGGCCCCCAAGAGGGTACCCTAACGGCCGAAGAGGGCCCCAAAACGGCCCAAGACGCCTCCAAGACGGCCCAAGAGTCCCCCAAGACGGCTCCAGGAGAGTGCCCAGACGGGGGACCCGAACAGATATTTCGAGCTCTCAGCCCCAAGAGGCCCCCAAGAGGCCCCAAAGAAACCCCAAGAGGCCCCAAGAGGCTCCCAATGGGCCCCCAAACTGCCCCAAGACAGCCCAGGAGAGCCCCAAATTACCCAGGAGGCCTCCAAGAGTGCCTCGAGACGGCGCAAGAGGAGCCCTGGACGGCCCAAGACGGCCTCAGGAGAGCCACGGGCTGTCCCACGAAAGCCTCTGGCCTCCTCCTCTTCCTCCTCCTCCTCCTCCTCCTCCTCCTCCTCTTCCTCCTCCCCCTCCTCCTCCTCCCCTCCCCCTCTCTGCTCCCCCTCGTCCTGTTCTCCTCTGCCTCCTTCTCCTCCTCTTGTTTCTCCCCCACATCCTTCTCTCAAGCCTATGGCCCCAGGCGCGCGCGGCCGCCGCGCGCGCGAGGGCCGCCTGCGACGCACGAACCGTCGTGGGACGCTCGCGGGGTGGGCCCGCCGCGCCACCGCGGCCCGTGGCTTGATGGGGGGCCTCCGAGGAGGCTGCTGAAGCTATCGCAGAACGACGACAACTGCTACGTGCCCGCCATGGGCTGCGGCGGCCCCAGCCAAGGAGCGGACTGGCGCAGCGCTGCCCCGTGGCACACGCGGCAGCACCAACCACATGGCGGCTGGCAGCGGCGCACGCCCAGCAAGCCAAGGCAGAGGCAGACCAGCCAGAAGAGGCGTGGGGAGTACATCGTCTGCCCGCAATGCCCGCCAGGCGAGAGCTGGGTGCACACCAAACGTGCGGGCACCCCAGGATGGGAGGGCTGCGAGACCTGCACCTACAAGTGGCCCAAGCATGCCGACATCACGGACACGGACAAGCTGGCAGCGAAGCAGGCTCTGGCGACGCTCGGACTGGACGAAGACAACCTCCGTGCGATGCAGGCAGTGGTCAAGTCCGCCAAGACGTCGGGGGACACCTAGACAGCCCAGGCAGCCGAGACGCTGGCCATGCCCCCTGCCTTGGTGCCTGCACCGGCGGAGCCTGCCAGCCCAGAGCCCAAGCTGGGGGAGCGCTTGGAGGCCGCAGCGCTGCGCTGGAGACAGGCCCAGCAGTCCCAGGAGAAGATCACTGGCCAGCTCGCGCAGCTGGACAAGCGCAGGCAGGAGATGCTGGGTAAACTCGACGAGACCACAGACGAGGTCATTGATGCCAAAATACAGCTCGACGAGCTCCAGAGCGAGGTCAACAAGGCGGGAGGGGGCTCCCCCGCGCCACCGCCCCTGCAGCAGCAGCAGGATGCCGAAGACCCATGGGGTGACGTGCCCGAGCTCTCGGAGCAGGACCTTGAATTCCTGGACCCCGAGGCCAAGACCACATGCGCCCATGCCGCAGCGCTCGCGCGGCAAGCCAAGGAGGTCTACAGTGCCGCCAAGGACCAGAGCACTTCTATCAAACATCTCGCCGTCACCCTCAAGGAGCTCCAGGCCAAAGTCACCGCCAAGAAGCGCCGCCGTGTGGGAGACGGAGAAAGAGGAGACACAGAGGAGGCCAAGGTCGAGGTCAATGAGGAAGCCGCAGAGGTCCCCATCGACTGCGCCAAGTGCGACTTCTCCAACGCCGAGGACGTCAAGAAGTACCTCAACCAGACCTCAACCATCAAGGCCAGGCAGCGCGAAGCCAAAGCCCAGGAGGTGGCATCCAAAGAGCAGGACGACAAGGGTAAGCAAGCAAGGTGCATGCGCTCTTGCTCGCGCTCTTGGGGAACCTGGTGAAGGCGGCGGGGGCGGGGGGCCCCCGAAGTCATCTAGCCAGGCTTATATGGTCAAACACCCAACTCTGGCTGCGTGGTCGGTTGGACCCCAGCCCATGACGGGCGAATTCGGCAACTCCGTCGCCATCGCCACGAAGTTCTTCCGCTGGTGCGAGGGCCGCAGTCTTCTGCCCACGTCCGACCCCAACGGCAACCAGGCGGCCAGCTGGACTATCGAGGGGGCCCAGAACTCTTGCATGAAAGAATTCGAGTCCCCTCCATCCAAGGTCGGGCGCCAGCGCGGGCGGCTGGGGCCAGCCTGGCATCGCCGTGAACAACAGCACTGCAGCGAGCGCAGCCGCCGCACAGGAGGCCCACAGGCTCGAGGAGACGGAGACCGCCAGACAGGTCAGTCCCAGGTGACTGCCAAAAGGTTGCGGCCGCAGGACGCAGGCAGACAGCCTGAGCGTCGAGTCCGTTTCGGCACCGGTCCAGGACACGTTGAACTAGGTCAGCGCCCAGGGCACCAAGAGCGCCTAGGAGCTAGGCAGAATGGCCCCCATCAGCGACCCGTCCCAGGCGACCATCCTCAAGAAGCCGATGAACCCACACACGCCAGGCACGGCAGAGTATCATCAGCGGGCAGCTGGGAGCCGCTGATCGACCGCGAGGCCTTGCAAGTATTCTTCGGCAACTGCAGCCAGTACAACGACGCAGCGAAAGCTTTCGTGGAGGGAGCGCAATGCTATGACCTCATTGGCCTTTCGGAGCACCACCTTGCACGCCCCCAGCGCGACGCCGAAGAGCAGAGGCTGCGCCGATACGGGCGGCGCCCCCTGCACTCCTGGACGCCTGCCACCAGCAGCCGCCGCGCAGCCGAGCGACCAGGTCAAGCAGAACGCAGAGAGGGCACGCATGGGGGCACCCGTTGGCTACGCCGCAATGACCTTAATACCTTCTGCCGCCTGCCTGACAAGACGGGCAAGGGTGCGTTCCACAACCAGCTTAACGATGCCACGGTCGCACTCATCCGCCTGCGCCACTGCACCCTTGCGTTCATCAGTTGTTGCCTGAACTGCAGCAACGGGCTTGCGGGCAACAGTGGCACAAAGCTGGGCAACATCCTCAGAGTCACCAGGTCGCTTGGGGTGCCGTGGATCATGGTCGGGGACTTCAACTGCACACCAGAGGAGATGGCTTCGCCCCGCTGGCCGCAGGCGCTCAAGTGCAAGATCCTGGCACCAGATGCTGACCTTACTTGCGCCAGCGGCAAGGGCCGAGTCCTTGATTACCTGATATATTCCCACTCAGCCAGACCTTTCATCAAATCAGTCGACGTCGTGCGACAGGTTCCGTGGGGGCCGCGCCTTGGGCTGCGCATCCAACTTGCGGCCAGACCTGGCGAGGTCCAAGTCCGCATCCCGCGGCTCCCCAGGAAGTTCGAAATCCCGACCGTTGAGACGCAGATCACCAAAGGAGTCAAGCGGGCACAGCGAGACAGGCAGCAGTACGAAGCGGCAGTCGAGGAAGGACTGGATCACGACGAGCTCGCCGACATCCAGCACTTGTTGAGCGAGACCTACACCAAAAAGCACCCTGCCTTCTGCGCCGACGACGCGTGGGCCAACGCCAAGGAATACGCCGCCCAGTGCCAGCTGGGGGAGCCCCCGCCCTGGGCCCAGAGCTCCCTAGCGTACAGAGCCAGCCCAGTCTGCGCGAACAGATTGGGCGACAAGTACGGACACTGGGCAATGGCGGCGGAAAAGATGCTCGCAGACCTATGCTGACTACCTACCAGACCACCCCAACCCAACCCGAAGACCCGAATTTCGGGTTGGGGGGGGTATGGGCTCCATACTTGGTTTTTCGATGTTCCCGGACCCCCCCCACTAGAAATCGAGAGTAAGTCTGACCCTTCGGGTTGGGTTGGGGTGGTTTGGTGGGTGGTGATATGCGGGGTCAAGCCACGCAGCAACGCCAGGCGCGGCCAGCCTGTCAAGTATAGATGGGTAGCAGCTACCAGCCTCCTAGAACAGCAGCGAGGCCACCAAGGGGCGGCTCGGAGACCCGAAGTCAACATGTGGGGCACACTGCAAGGCCGACTGACCGAGCTCAAAAAGGTATGCCTCAAGACCAAGGGCACTTCTGGACAGCGTGCTGCCATCGAGCACGTGATCATCCATGCACGCAAGCAGATTAGGGGCGGCCAGAAGGTCGCGGATGACGACCCCAGCGAAGACAGCATAGCTCTCCGGTCTACGGAGGCACTCGTCCACAGCCAGCGCTTACCAGACCCTGACGACGAGCAGGACGAGTGGGAGACAATTGCAGAGGTAATCCGCCAACGTGCGGCTTCACACAACAAGAAGGCCTGGCAGGAGACCAGATCTGCAGTACGCCATTGGACTGAACAAGCACTCCAAGCATCGATGGGCGAGGGGCACCGATACCTCAGCAAGCCAGAGCGGAAGGACCTCAGCGAAGTCACCATTGACCCGTTGGATGGACACCCAGAAGGCGACCTCCAGGAAGGAGTCAACCTCCGAACGGCAGCTTGGGGCAGACGCTGGCAAAGGGACACAGACTCGCAGGAACTACAAGCAGTCATGAAGGACCTACGCGCCAAGGCAGAAGCAGCCAACTGCAACCGACGGCCTAATGAAGTAGTCGATTTGGACAAAGCCCTACGCCAGTTCAAAAAGACCACAGGCAGAGGCACGGACCAGTGGAGGCCCGCTGAGCTGGCCGCCCTCCCCACCCCAGCCAGACAAGAGCTGATCGACCTGATCAACGACTGCGAAGCAACGCTATCCTGGCCCCACCAATTTTACCATGTGTGGCACCAGCTACTCAGGAAGAAAGACAGTGCGGTCGCAGGGGAGGAAAGGCCCATCGGGCTATTCCCCATCCTGGTTAGGGTCTGGGGCAGACTCACCAAGCACGAGGTGGGGCAGTGGTGCGATGAGAGGGCAGCATTCTGGGACGCAGCGGTGGCTGGTAGCTCTGCGCTCCAAGCTTTCACGGTCGCAGCATGCCTGGACGAAGCAGCAGCACGCGGGCGCGCAGCTGAAGCATGGGCAAGCTTATTCTTGGACTTGGAGAAGTTCTACGACAACATCAACCTGGCCAAGCTCATCAAGAAGGCGGATGCACTGGAGTACCCGCCCGTCGAGCTCTACTTGTGTACGCTGATGTACGTGGCGCCACGGGTTGCGCGAGCCTCTGGTGCTTACGGGCCCCCATGGCGCCTTGCAACAGCATTGTAGCAGGCTGCATCCACGCCAACAATGCGGCCCGCATGATGCCGTACGATATCCTCGAGTTGGCGCACCGCACCGCGCCGAAGGCATGGCCACGCCAGTACGTTGACGATGTGCAGATCCGCGCGGAGGGCGCCTGCAGCATCGTGGGGCAGCAGATCGCCACCAGCGCAGCGTCCATTATACGAAGCTGCGAGGCCGACCAGTTGCCCATCTCTGGGAAGTCAACGCTAGTTGCATCGCGCCCAGCTGTCCGTGACGCAGTCGGCGCTACAGCAGCTGCCATGGGCCTCACCCTCACGCAGGCCGACGCCATGAAGGACCTGGGATGTGACACTACTATTGGAAGGAGGAGACGCAGAGCGACCCAGGCCAAGCACACATCAATGGCCAGGCAGCGGAATAATCGGGCCAAACTGTTCCTGCGGGCAGCCCGGTGGAGGAGACGATCAGCGAGCCTATACCGCACCAACATCAGGGCCAAACAACAATACGACCAGGCCGTGACGGGCATGGCCCCACATGACATTGTCAAGGCACGGGCCGAGGCAGCCGACATGGCGGGCATCAAGGCTGGGCACCGATGCACGGCTACAGTCCTCATCCTCACGCACGGCGACAAGGAACCGTGGACGGCCAATGTCATTCGTCAACTCCGCGAATGGGTGCGCACGTGGCGAAGCAATGAAGACCTGCGTGACCACCTCCGCGAAGCATGGCACCGCGTGCAGAACCACCTGAACAGCGTCACCAAGCGTGGCCGCTGGATGGCCGCCACAGGTCCCATGGCAGCTCTCCAGCTCATTCTCGAGATCCTCGACTGGAAGGGACAGGAAGCGGATCGGTGAACAGACCACCGCGGTCACACGTGGCAAATCTCAGACGCCGTGGACGCCAACCTCACTGAGGTCGAGGATGCCATCAAGGACGCCGCTATCAGCCTCCCCTGGAGCCAGGCGGGCAGGCACCCTGAAGGGCAAGGTCTGCAGAGAGGCGCCGACATCTCCGCGCTCCAGAGCAGTGCGAGATTCTTTCGCAAGCTGGAGAGGCACCAAGAGGCAGGGGCGCTCGAAGCATCGGCATGCGCAGCGGTTTGGACCAACCAGAAGTGCCACGCAGCAGGTTACCGCGCTCGACCAACATGCACCCGCTGCCAGCTCAGGGTTGACGACACGCCGTTCCACAGGCTTTACGAGTGCCCAGCCACGGACGACATCAACCACCAGTGGATCGCCAGCACAGCGGCATTGGCGGCCAGGGCGCGAGCAGTCAAAGACGACCCGCTTGAGCACGCCTTTTGGGTCAGGGGCATCCTACCCAACGAAATGTGCCCAGTCGACCCACCCCCCGACTGGGGCAGCCTCGATGACACGCACTGGGCGGTAGGGAACTTCGGCGCGCGCATCCGTGAAGCCCGCACGGTGGCAGCTACAGTTGCTTACACAGACGGCTCAGCCACGTCAGGCGATAAGCGCATCGCCCGAGCAGGATGGGGCATGGCGTTGGAGCTACCCGAAGACGCTGGCATCGACATCGACGATTACCCAAGCTGGTTCGACATCTTGGACGGGCCCCAGACAGTTGCAGCAACAGAGCTTGCAGCCATCTTCTGGACGCTCAAGCTCACCCACGGACAGCTCACCATCGTCACGGACTCCCAGATGGTGACAGATGGGAGGCGCAGCTACAATTATGCCCACCCAGAGGGTCCCCTGGCAAGATGGTGGCAGCGCATCCACGATGCTATCAGAGAGCGTGTTGGAGGCATACGAGACGTCACCGTCATCAAGTGCTACTCGGACATCGACGTCACCACGATCCAGAAAACCAGGCAGTCCATGCGCGTCACCAGAGGGAACGAGCTCGCAGACGGGTGCGCCCAGAGAGGGGCCGAGATTGCAGCCAACTGCGTTCCCCCTCAGGTCGCCGCCCTGATCGAGAGAGAGAGAGAGAGAGAGAGAGAGAGAGAGAGAGAGAGAGAGAGAGAGAGAGAGAGAGAGGCTCCTCAAACGAATCCACCGCAGAGTAGGTGCTGTTGCTGCACACCTTGCAGGACTCGACCACCCACACCTAACCCGCACGCGGCAGTGGGGTGGAGGGGTCAAGGCATTCCACACACGCAAGCAGGTCGAGGAAGAGACGGGCCACCGAATGCACAAGCGGACCGACGGCAAGTGGGCCTGCCTCGAATGCAGCAAGGGGCCTGGCAAGTACTCCATCATCGACTGGGTGCGGACGCATGGCTGTAGTTCATTGCCAATGGTAGCCAACAACAGCGGACGGGCCACCAAGGTTCCCACGATGGAGTACGCTACCCTCATGAAACAAGGGCCGATCCACCAGACGCACAATATGAGCTACCTGCACGGGCAGTGCTGGTGCTGGCGATGTGGAGCGATGGGATCCCTCACCGCCGACGGCAAGAGCCGCATGCTACGACTCCGACACAGATGCCGAGGTTGGACAACGCCAGCAGCCAAGCACCAGCTCGACCGCCTTCGGCGAGGCAAGCCCCCCACACCAGGCAAGGCAAAGTGGTCCGACGGCGCGAACGCCAAGCCCGAGCTGCCTCGCAAACCCAGGGCCAGCAGCTCAGCGCGGGCAGCAGCGAGAGGAGCGGGCATGGCCAAGCGGAAGTGGCCGCATAGAGGACTATCGACGCTCCTGAATACAGACCACTCCTGCCTGGGAAAGCGACTCAAAAGCATAGGTGGACACCTGTGGGCTGGAACGCCGCAACCGAAGTCCCGTGCAAATCCAGGGGATAGCCCCCCTGGCGCAGTAGAAATCTGCGGAGACAGAAATCTCAACGACAATAACCCTGGAGATGGCATCCCAAGTTCAGGAGTAAATTGCTCTTCAATGTCTCGGCCAAATCCTGGGAATGGCCCCCCAGGTTCAGGATAAAAAAATGCAGCCGTTGGAGGGAGTCTCGAGCAAAATCGTGGGGATGGCCTCCCAGGTTCAGGAGTAAATTGCGGCCCAGCCACTTGCTCAGCCAAGCGAAGCTCAGGAGAGCCCGATGACCCAGCCGAAGCGCCGAAGCGGCCCAAACAACGGCCGAGACTGGGCGCACGCAGACCTCGGACCACCAGCGCAGACAACCTCGCCAAGCGCAGCTGCGACCACCACTGGGAGCAGCCAGACCACATGGACCACACCAAAGACGACGGGCACATCTTGCACAATAACGTCTCGGGGCACCCGACCGACACAGAAGGGGTGCAGAGGGGTGCCCTTCCCCAACCGACGCAGACCGAGACACTCGGCCACTAGACAGCTCACGACCGCGCAGGCCTGACCGTTCACGCAGCCCACCAACGGCGGCCACCCAGGCCAGACCCGACGAGCCCAGGGGGAACCACTCACGAGAGTACAGTGCGGTGGACCCGAGCTTCCCGAGGAGTAAACGCTCACGCAGCCCAGCAGATCGCCGAGGACAAGATGTACACAACCAAGTGGAGGAAGGCGAAGCGCCAAGCGACGAGGCGGCCCAACCCCAAACCGACCCAGCGCTCCACCACGCCAAGCTGAAGGAGTGTGGCAATGACATCCAAGGCGTAGTGGCGCAGGAGAATTTGGTGCCACTTGAGATCGCGCAGGAGATACTTTCAAGCTGGTGGATAACAGATCTGGTTGACAGCCGCGCGGGCAGAGTCAGCTGGAACGACCTATGCGTGGACTACATCAAGCGGGAGTTGCGGCGCGAGGACTTTGGTGAGTTCTTCAGATACGTCAGCGACGCCATTTTCGACGCCGAGCTCCAACGCCGTGCCCAACAGATATGCGACCGTGGATGGGCTGGTGGACACATCACGCGGGAACGGCGGCTGGCCCACGCGCGCGCTCAGGATGGCGATGACTTAACCAGTGCGATCCAGCGCCTCACCGCTTACCAGGCCGCGGCAAGGGCCTTCCTCATCCCCAAGCAGCAGGCGCACCACCACGAGGCTTTCCGCGTAGGGTACCCCAGCAGCCCAGCGGACCACACCTCCGCCGACCAGAATGGGTCCAACGCCAGTGCCGAGCCACAGGAACATGACCTCGGCAACGACTCCTATGCTGACAACGGATCCAGCGGGACAGCAGGAGACACCCCAGCGGCAGCGGCAAGGGTACTGGACCAGCAGCAGCAAGGGACGGGCATCCAAGGACCTCAGCAACCAGTGGCAGCAAACCCCGCAGATGCGCAGGGCACAGCGGCCCCAGCAGCGGAACAGCTCCAAGCCCCAGTGCTGGCCGCTGCAACAGAGGACGCAACAGTTGCACCAGACGAAACGACTCGTGCAGAGGGGCCGCCCCAGGCCCCAGCGCAGGCTGAGCCATCAGGGCCAGACGAGCCAGACGCACCGAGATCCAGGTCCCCGCGCTCCGGACGGAGGCGGGCGCAATCAACCTGCAACGAATCCATGGGCAGTGACGACGGGGCACAGGATACCTGGTCAACACACAACTCCCTCAGCCTGACCGCCCTCAGCCAACAGCTGCGAGACTACGCGGCCATTTGGGTGCGCGACCTCACTGCGCCAGAAGCGGGACAAACATCATGGACGGCATGGGGGTACCAGTACGTCATGGCGCTGCTCAATAACCCTGTCCACAGGCGCCTACGTGACGGAGTGGAGTTCATCGCAGGTATCGACAGCTCCACCAATTATGTACGCGACATCATCGATCTCGCGTGGATCGGTACGCAGACAATGCGCCAGAGGCTGACGGACAACATCCAATCCCTTCAGGTTGGCGAATGGCTGCACGTGGTGCGATGCATTGGGCCAACCTTGACGAGGTCCACCGTACCATGGACCATGACGGACATGCTCAACGGTGAGCTCACCACCCTTGGAGGTCAGCCACCAGAATGGGCCCCGCCCCACGGCGCTGCCGCAGGCGTCTGGCAAGGACCACCCACAGAACCAGCACCCGCGCTACCGAGACCAGCTTACATCCCCAACAGGCTTGTCACGGAGGGCTGGAGGCGACCATGGCTTAGTTGGGACCAGGCGCCCGAACCAGACAGCGACGAAGGCTACTACCACCATCCTGATGCGGCACCATCTCACGGCGGAGCTGGCCAGGCCAATCCACAACTGCTACCGCAGGCAGGACAAGATCCCGCTGAAGGTGCTCAGCAGCGCCCTGCCAGCCAAGCAGGGGCCACCGAGGATGAAGCAGAGACGGACCTGCTGACACGCAGTGCACAACAAGCCGACCAGCCCCAAGCCGAAGGAGCACCAGGAGCTGAACACCGACGCCGAAGCACTAATGTGCAGACCAGGCGAAGGACTTTAGCAGGCGGGCGCGACCGACCAGAGGAGGAAGACGGCACGCAGCTCATGCAGACCGCCGCGGGGCCAGCGGGCCAAACCAACAGGGCGCACCTAGCAGCCGTTGAGCATCCACAACAGCCTGAGGTGCAAGAGCACGATCCCCACCACGGAGAATTTCAGCCAGACCAGCAGCACGAGGAGGCAGAGGCACCAGCCAGCACCAAGGCTGACACGCGCGGGAAGGCCACCAAGCGACCCGCGCAGGGAACTGCAGGCAAGCCACAGTGTCAGGCGCGCCGCCCAGCGGGACCTGACGCCAGCCCAGACACGCAAACCATGACAGGATCCCCTGCGGCCAGAGAGGCCATGGCAGCTGCCGCAGCGGATGGCCAGGACCTTCCTCAGGCGCTGCGGCGTGGGCAACCCTGACACTCAGCCGCAGATCCTCCGCAACAGCGATGGCCAGCCTGGCAGCAGTGGAGGCGATGGCAGAGCCAAGATTGGCACGGCCGAGGCAGCAGCGCGGCTCCTGGCAGCGGCAACAGCTCGGCCCAGCCCTTGCGGAGACGTGGCATGCAGCGCTGTTGAAGAAGGAGATGCTGCGCCGAGACCAGTCGACGAACAGGCTACGATCAACCGCGATGACTGGAGGGACCGCTTGGAGGAGCAGATCCACCACGCTACCCAGCCAGTGGCAGCCACGGTAGCAACTGCGGACGCCAGAGGAGGCGAGAAGCAGCAGCCGCGCGCGGCACGGCGGTCGCGGCAGCTGCCAGGAGGGGGCGAGGTGCAGCGGCCCGCCAAGGTGGCCCGCGCCGCGCCTGCCGCAGGAGGAGGTGGCCAGCAGCCCTCCGTCCGCCTCCTCCTGGGCGAGTGCACAGCCCAGCCGCGTGCGCCGCAGACGGCGGCGCGCGACGCCCCGCTCAGCACGCTGGGGCACGGCGGAGGCGCGGACCACCAGCAAGGCTCGCGAGCCACGCCGAGCGGCGCAGGCTGCCGCGCCGCGGGCACGGAGGGCCGGCGGCAGGTGCGCGCGCGGGCGGGGGCGCGGGACGGCCGCGTGCCGCCCGCCGCGCGTGGGCGCGGGATGCGTCCGAGTCAGGTGGGGGGGCGCCACGGGCGCCCCCCCCACCTCAAGAGACGTCCCAAGAGACGTCCTCCACATCCTTCTCCCCCCTCCTCCTCTCATCCACCTCCTCCACACTGCCCCCCCCTCGTTTTCATCTTCGCCGCTCTCAAGGTCGGCGGCAACGGCCGTAAGGCCTTCGCAATGCGTGCAGCAGAGGTATCGGAGTCTGCTGGAAGCCTTTCAAGACTTCCATGAGAGCCTGAAGGAGTGACCCGGGCAGTACGACGGGCGCTCCATTGAGCCATCGTGGACGCCTCCTGAGGCGCATGTCAGGCTCACGCCCGAAAACAACCCTATCGTGGGAAAACGAAAACAATACCAGTCACACTCCGCCGTGAAGAAAGCATCAGCGTGTCACTGTTGTCCTCGGACAAGAATGAAGGAGCAAGGTGCTGACGGGCCCCTAACGGCAACGGAGGCGTGTCTTTGATACTCCTGTTCCCTCCAACATCGTCCATCAGGGCGCTTCAACTCTTGAATGCCCTTCAGACGACGGGTCCGCTCTCCCGCCGCCCCCGCGCCCCTCCACGCCCAAAACTCCAAGAGTCTCCGAACTGGCCGCCCTGAGCAGCTACTAGAGAAGCAGAGCCCGCCGCGCTACACGCAAACTATGGTAGGTCCGCGCTCGCGAAGCCATGACCCAATGCCAAGTGCGAGGGGAAAGCGCTCGCGCGGCCACGACACCTCCAAAGAAAGGGCTCGTTGTGCAGCGCCATGCTGTCGCAGGCGGCTACCTGCTAATGCTGCTGCTTGGTGACGCTTACTGAGGAGCGCTGCGGGTTAATGCTACTTTAGGTCGGGCGTGCCCCCCTGCAGGCGGATTTGAAACCTGAAGAATAACCAAACAATGCTCTAACAATAATCAGACATAGAAGAAACATAGTCCTTGACTATTGTTGGACATTCCTCCTGTAGAGGGACGTGCCCGACTTAATGTTACTTCTGGCTGCATGCTGCTGCTGCCTGCCGCTTGGGCCTTGCACCACGCCTCCTCGGGCCGCTTTGGGGGGCCTGCCGCGTGCTTCTTCCACCCTCGCGCGACGCAGCCATCAGGCGCAATCGAGAGGCCCGGGCCTCATCCACCTGGTCCCCGCTGTGCCCTTACGCTTGTCTAAGGAAAGAAAAACACACACACATTAACATAAACTGTTGGCGCTCCGCGCGGATTTTTTGGATACGCGCTGTGCCCCCCTCCCTGGCGCGCGGAGCGCGCCAGGGGCGGCGCTGGAGGCGCCGCCATGGGGCTCCCAGCGCGGATCCGAGAAATCCAGCCAGAGCGCCAACATGTTATGTGTATGTGCTTTTGTTTTTCTTCGCTTCCTTCGTCCGTGCGCGGGGCCTGCTGGGCAGCCTCTGAGCCAGACGAACCGTTTGGGGCCCTCTGGGGCCGTTCGGGGGAAGGAGAGACTCTCGCGGGGCCCGTCGGGCCTGCCCCGGGAGCTGCTCAACGGGCGACGCCCACCTCGTCGCAGAACCCAGCTGGGGATCCTGTGAGCTCGTACCAGGCAAAATCCAGAAGCCTCTCAGGCCCAGCCCAGAAGCCTCGAAGAGTTCCTACGAGTTTCGCTCTCAGGCCCAATCCAGAAGCCTCAAAGGCGGCCCGACAGAGTACCAAGACGCGCAACACCCTTCCGCACGGCTCCAATCCGACCCCGGACGCTCCAAGAGACCCCCACGTTCATCCCCGAATGCCCCGAAGAAGTGCCCAATAAGCTAACAGCACTCGCGCAGCTGTGGTTGCGCGGTGTGCCCCAAGCATCTCAATCTGAGGCAACTGCAGAGAGGCTTCGATGTTCCCAAAATCTCTGCATAATGCACAATCGCTTCCAAAACTACCCACACACGCTTGAAGGGCTTCGTTATCGGGGGGGGAGAAGGCGGCGGATTGAGTGTGCTTCTGACACAGAAGGTGCCAAGCAAAGGGCCAGATTATGTGTGGATGCCAGTAGTTGAGTTTGCCACTTGAAGTACGCACGCGTTGACATTCACCGGCTTGGCGCTCTCCCGGCTCTGCTGGCGCCGAGCCGCCGAAGCGTCCTGGCAGTGCATCAGAAGCTCCCTCGGCAGCAGCGACGCGTCGATCCCGAACTCCTCCACCTCGCGGCGCGCCGACGGCGGGCTTGCGACCGAGGGTGCCGCCCCGTGGTCCGGCGGGGAAGCGCACTCGCACTGCCCCGGGTGGCATCGCATTGCACTGCGGTGCGGCAGCTCAGCCAGCATCGTCGTGGCTGCCGGCCGGAGGCGGAACCACGGACGGCGTCGCGGTCGCTGTCGCGCGAACGCTGGACTGCAACGCTGTCAGCCTGAGACGGGCTTGTGGTGAAGCAGCTCGACATGCTGACGACACATAACTTTCGAACCAGAACCTGCCACCACAACAACCACCACCACCACCACCACCACCACCACCAGCAGCAGCAGCAGCAACAACAACAACAACAGCAGCAGCAGCAGCAGCAGCAGCAACAACAACAACAACAACAACAACAACAACAACAATCATTTAAGACTGGGGACACTCCGTTCTCACCAGTGCCAGGGTTTTCATAGGAGGCGGGCAATACCCCCACTTTGTGGGGGGGCCGGTTCAAGCTCTACCAAATTTCCAAACGACTCTTCGCCACCACCCACACCCAGCTTCCCGCCCTATGACGTTCGGACACTTCACTTCGTGGCATGCGGACGACCGTGGCTACTATTCAGGGCCCCGCGGCCGACGACGACGGCGTGCGCGCGCGAAGAAAAAACGAATGTGTCCAATATGGTATTATTTGACAGGGATGATGGCCCTGGCATGCGCGCAACCGTTGTTGCAGAAGTTCGAAGCACGTGAAAAAGTTGCTCGCAAGAGCCCGTTTGACAGAAATGTTGAAAAAAATAATGGGTTTCCTCAGAAATCCGCAAGAGCGCGCAAGATGATATTTTGAAACTTTTTTTTTTGAAAAACCATTGGGTTTTTCATGTTTTTATGTTAAAATCACTACGAAAACTAAGGTTTTGGAAGGATTTCACCTTGCGCGCGCGAGTGTGCACTTCGTGTCATTTTTTGCAAAAAGGATTCTTGAAGTTTGGTTATGTTAGAACAAGACATGTCATTTTATAGTGTTTTTTGACAGGGAAAGCGGGCGTCAACAAAACAACCGGATCTGGATGACATCGTTTTACCTGAGACTTCCTCACGAAAATTATGAAAATGTGGCTGCGGCCTAGGCGCGGGGGGGGGGGCGTGCACCAGGGGGCCCAACAATAATTATTCTTTAGAATTAATAATGTTCAACAACAATTACTAGCACGTGGGGACACTCCGTTCTCACCAGTGCCAGGGTTTTCATAGGAGGCGGGCAATACCCCCACTTTGTGGGGGGGCCGGTTCAAGCTCTACCAAATTTCCAAACGACTCTTCGCCACCACCCACACCCAGCTTCCCGCCCTATGACGTTCGGACACTTCACTTCGTGGCATGCGGACGACCGTGGCTACTATTCAGGGCCCCGCGGCCGACGACGACGGCGTGCGCGCGCGAAGAAAAAACGAATGTGTCCCGCATGGTATTATTTGACAGGGATGATGGCCCTGGCAGGTGCGCAACCGTTGTTGCAGAAGTTCGAAAAAGTTGCTCGCAAAAGCCCGTTTGACAGAAATGATTAAAAAGTGTTGGGTTTCCTACGAATCCGCAAGAGCGCGCGGGATGACATTTTGACAATTTTTTTTGAAAAACCATTGGTTTTTTGATGTTTTTATGTTAAAATCGCTACGAAAACTAAGGTTTTGGAAGGATTTCGTCTTGCGCGCGCGAATGTCCACTTTACCTTATTTTTTGCAAGGGATTCTTGAAGTTTGGTTATGTTAGAACAAGAAATGTCCACTTTAGCTTATTTTTTGCAAGGGAAAACCGATCGTAACAACACAACCGGATCCGGACTCCCCCGTTTTGCCTGAGACTTCCTCACGAAAATTATGAAAATGAGGCTGCGGCCTAGGCGCGGCGGGGGGGTCGTGCACCAGGGGCCCCAACAATAATTATTCTTTAGAAGTAATAATGTTCAACAGCAACAGCAACAACAACAACAACAACAACCACACCACCACCACCACCACCGCCACACCACCACCACCACCGCCACAACCACCAACAACACCACCACAGCCCACCACCACCACCACCACCACCACCACCACCACCACCTCAGAGAGGCCCCAAGAGACACCCAAGAGGCGCCCAGGAGGCTGCACAAATGCCCTTCAGAGGCCCCCGAGAGCCCTCCGACGAGACCCCCAAAGGCATCCATTTGGACTCTGACCCAAAACCAAGACACGATGGCGGAGCGTCGTCGTCGTCATCATCGTTGCCGTCGTCCTCGTCGACGCTCCCCGCCGCCGCCGCCCGCCGCCCGCAGGCGCTGGCGCCGGCCCAGAAACGGAAGTCGTCGTCCCCGCCGCCGCCAGCCGCCGCCGACGCAGGCGCCAGCCCGAGGAGAGGGAGAGAGGAGAAATAAGGAAGGAGGGGGAGGGGAGGGGAGGGGGGGGTCTGGTTCCAAACCCCTTCCCTCCAAGCGACCACAGAACGCGCTCTTTCAGAATTTAAACTTCCTTCCCACCCGTCCTTCCGTCATTCCTCATCCTCCAACATCCCCATCCCCCCCAGCGCCATATCTCTCTCCACCCGCCAATCTGAACTGGCGACGCTCGATTGGGCGGGCGTTTCCTTGCAGTTGGACTCTTAAGCTTCCATTTCAGCGCGCCCCCTGGCCCACTAGCTGTGCCGAGGGGTAAATATCTCTGTCCATCCCTCGGCCGTCTTCCATTCCGTGTCGATCTGACAATTCCTCCGCTGGCTCGCTCGCTCCCTCCTCCCGCCAGCTCCTCGCCCCCCATCCTCCCGCCAATCCCTCCCCCCGACCCCCTCCCTTCTCCTCTCTTCTCGGGCAGGCGACGAGGGCGCGGTGCCAGCAGAACCCGCCTCATCCGCCCTCCTTGCCGCCAACCTGCCGCTCATCCTGCACAACATACCCTTCCAACATTCCACCTGCGACACTCCGTCGGCAATGCCCAGGATCATGGGAGATCCCAAGGTCACGTCAGCGTCCCTGATGCCCTTCCGGGTCTTGTCCGGGTGCTGTTTCTGGAAAGCCTCGCGGGCTGCCAGGGCGAGGAAGGATGATGGCGGTAGCAGCGTAGCGTTCCAACACGTACTCTCCCCCTCCTTTTCCTTTTCCTCCTCCTCCTCCTCCTCCTCCTCCTCCTCCTCCTCCTCTTCCTCCTCCTCCTCTTCCTCCTCCTCGCCCTCGCCCTCTCCCTCATCATTTTCCTCCTCCTCCTCCTCCTCCTCCTCCTCCCCCTCCTCTTCCTTCTCTTCTTTTTCCTCTTTTTCCTCCTCCTCCTCCTCCCCCTCCTCGTATTCCTCTTCGTCCTCCTCCTGCTTTTTCTCTTCCTCCTCCTCCCTGGCGCAGAATACGCGAGCCTCGCGTCTAGCAGAGGTGCGCGTGGGACCGTGCCCACAGACGCGCCGCTGCCCGGGCTCCCCCCACGAGCAAGAGGCGCGCGCGTGGAAGGTCAGAGCGGCAGCAGCAGGACCCGCCGTTCCCTCGGAACCCACAGGACAGGACTCAGAGACAAACCGCCAAAAATGAACCTCAAAGGAAGCTCAGGCTGCCCCCGATGGACTTACTGCCCACGACCCAGCATAGTGGCGGGATGGGCCGAAATGCACTGGGCGTTGCGAACAAGGGGCTGAAGAGGCCCAGGGGCACAATATTTTCCGTCGGCGGCGAAGCAAAAGTGCTGCTTCAGCGGGTTGGCATCCAGGGGCGCGCAGATATATGCACACATCCAAAGACCTCCAATAGTTTTTCAAGCGTTCTGGATTATCGTCGCCTTCCCCCCCACTTCCAATAATTGCCTATCTTTTTTCTTGGGGATCGACGATGAATTGTGTCGGTGTTTCTGTCTCTTCCTGAAGATCCTCGCACTACGCTGGCAGCCGCCCCTGTTGCCCGCGGGGGTGCGCCCGCGCGCCCAGCTCCGCATCAGACGATCTGGCCTTTCCAAAAGGAGGAGGCGGAGGAGAGGGGGGAGGAGGAAGAGGAGGAGGGGGAGCAGCAGCAGCAGCAGGAGGAGCAGCAGCAGGAGGAGCAGGAGGAGGGAACAGGGAGGGAGGGGAGGGAGGGAGGGAGGGAGGGAGGGAGGGAGGGAGGATGAGGAGGAGGAGGAGGAGGAGGGGGAGGAGGAGGAGGAGGAGGAGGAGGAGGAGGAGGAGGAGGAGGAGGAGGAGGAGGTGGAGCGTGGCCGAGACGAGCCCGATCCTGCCATCCTGCCCGCCACCGCCGCCCCCGCGCGTTTGCACCACGATGGGCTCGAGGTGAGCGCGATCGAGGAAGTGGCGCTGCCTGCCGCTTGTCGCGAGGCGCGCGGCGAGGCGGACAGCGCCGACTATCTCAGCAGTGCCTGCCGCTGAGCGAGGGAGTAACGCCCGATGGGCGGCGATGCGATACGCGTGATAAAGGGCGACGATGAAGGCCAGGGACCCCCCCCCTCAGGCCGAGAACGAATAAGGGGTCGGATGGGACGGGGGAGCGCAGGGACACTGAGGCAACCCATTGGATACGGGCACAGTCGAGAACATAATGGGCGATCGCATCGGGGGCGCCAGGGCATCCGAAAATACAAAAATGAGTCGTTCTTTGAATTCGCTTGTTCGTGATCCAGCAACCTAGCCAGCTCCGAAGAGCGAATAGACTCCGCGCCATCGGATACGTGACTGTAGTTCTTCCACCTAATCGATTTCAAAGGACGGGCTGAAATGCTTCCGCACCCGTGATTTGATTCGGCAAGCGAGGCTCTCGGGAGCGAAGAGGGCACGGTCAAAACACCCCCTGGAACGCACTCTGCCACCGCGGACGCTTACGCTCGTCTCCGGGAACCCCTGCTCGAAACAATCCGAGCGCCTCGACTCCCCCGCTCTCCAAAGCAAGAGCATATCTTCGAGCCGCACAAGAAGGCCGCCCGACACGACGACGGGCACCGACTGGGGAGGCGCGGGGGGGGGGCAGGGAACCCAAGCGGGCGCGCTCCAGCGCCCGCGCGATGGAAGGCGACTCCCAAAAAGTCCGGGGCGAGCTTGCCCCCGCCCCACCACGCGGCATGTCCTCGTTCGACAATGGCACGACGCAGCCCAGCAACCTGAACTTGCCACCTGTTGAGAGCGAGGAGCGCCGCGCGCATGAGGGAAGCAGAGCAGAGAGGCATCGCACTTTTCAGCATCAGACCTCCCCACGAAGAAGCCAGCTCAAGCCGCTCGCCGCGGCCCATGCTGCTGCTCGGTGCATGCCAAAGACGGGCAGACAGGTGCCTCTCGGATGCTGCGAGCTGCCGAGGGGGCTGAAGCAATTGGGCCCTGCAACTCAGGACAGGCAGCGCGCGCTCGAGGAAACGATCCGCGCTCCGAGCGAAGGGGGCACCTGCGCCAGCAATTTGGACCGCCCTTTCTTCGAGCTTAGCCAAGGGAGGCCCCCCGCTGCTCGAGCAGGGTGCTACTGGGCCCCAGGCGGACGCCTGAATAAGAAAGGCCGCCCGCAATCTGAAACTCCTCCCAAGTCGGGCCCGCGCGGGCGAGCACCGATCGAAGGTCTGCGGCCACCTTGCGCTGGTGCATCGCCCTAACCTCGTTGGGATCTGGCATCGGGGCTCCGAGGGGGGGCGCCAAACATTTGGGCGCTTTCAATTGCAGCTTGGCAAGCAGCGAGGCTAGACGGAAGACTCTAGCAATCATTACGCCCCCCCGCCACCTCCAGGTCACCGCCCCCGCGTCACCAGCGCAAGCTCGAGCGCGTCCCCGCTGCTTGCGGCCCATGTTCCTAAACGGGTCGCCCAGGAAGACATTCGCTGCTATCGCGAGGGGCGATCCCGAGAGGGGGCGGCCATGAAGGGCGCCCGAAAACATCCAGTATATACGGCATACGGCGCGGTCTACTACGCTGTGGCATGGGTTGGCAGCGTAGAAAACATCCACGGCTCGCGCGAAACCTAGCGGAAGCCTGTGCGCCCACGAACACATCTTCATCCACTCTTGTCGGGCCGACGGGAACGCCTGGGCACAGTCGAAAGACACAAGGGAAGGAGGGGCAAGGGGGGGGGAGACGACGGCATTAAGACTGGCCAGGCGAGCCGAACTATATAGATCCACGATGTTGTTCACACAAATACGGCCTGCAATGAATCCGCGCCGGTTTGGAGCTCCCATCTTTTGGGCCGCAGGCGTGACATCGCGGTTGATGGTAGCGCCGACGATCTCATTAGCCGCACTGTTCAGTCCTAGGGGGCGGGTGCCGCGCGCCGCGCGCACGAGCCCCTCTAGCGATTCAGCCTCGCCCGCTAGCGGCTTGGGGAGGAAGCCAGCAAGAGAGGCATAATAGGACAGCGGCATGGGAAGACCTTGCAGCGTCCAACATAAGACGCTGTATAAGACATCTACCCAACGACCATGCCTCCAGGCCCGAAAGTAGAGCCCATCAGATCCAGGCGCGCTATTGGGGGCACGCCAAATGAACCTTTTTCAAGCGACCGCTTGGAGGGGAGTGGGAGAGGCGAGAAGCCCAGGCCCGTGCCACTCCCGAGACGCTCCAAGCACCGACCCCCCACGCAGGCACGGGCCTGGTCTCCTCAAAGATCGGGCACCAATACCTAGCTAAGGCAGCGACAGAGACAGCTTGCTCCGACTTCGAAATCAGATTTGGTCTATCGGGGGCGGCTGCATCGCAGTCTGCTGACGCAGCCGCGGCAAAAACATGCGTCTCGAACAAGAATTCCATAGTTGGGCTCTACGGCCAGCCGCCTGTTTCCGCCCCAGGGTCCGAGCCCGCCTCCCAGGGCAATTCACTTCCGCCGCGGCTTCTCGCTCGAGTTGCTCCCGTCTCTTAGTGGCATCTTGCTGCTGGAGGCTCG